ACCAAACTCATCAAAGGGATGGAGGACCAGAGCTATGAGACACGGTTACTAAATTTAAATATGTTCACGCTGGAACTAAGGAGATTAAGGGGGGACATGATTTTCATGTACAAAATGTTCCATAGTCATAGCAACATTAGCAACAAACTCTTTACGATTAATTCCGTAACAAAGACTAGAGGCCACCACCTGAAACTGGTAGAAAAAAAATTCAAACACAAGGGGCGGAGGGGGTTCTTCTCAGTTCGCGCGGTTAGGGTCTGGAACTCACTGCCACAAGCAGTGATTTCAGCTAATAGTCTGGAATCATTCAAGAGGCTTTTGGACGATTTCCTGAGAAACGGTAATATACAGGGGTACAAGTACTCCTAAAAACGAGATGACTCGGGGATCTATACACACACACACACACAATAGGTTGGACTTGATGGACATGTGTCTTTATTCAACCTCAAATACTATGTAACAATACTTAATTTTTTTAGGTGGTAAATCAAGAACTGAGCAATCTTGGCCAATGTGACCAATCTCTGGGACAGTGGCCGATCTCTAGGACAATGGACAATCTCTTCAAAACCTGGTCATAAAATACTTGAGTTTTCGCCGTAGAGCCAACTTCACATCTTTATTTTTCAGGCTGTAAATGAAAGGATTCAGCATAGGAATCAAAGCTGTGTTGAGCAAAGACAAAAATTTACCAAACTTAATGGTTCCCACTGGGGTCAAGTATTGGCAAACAAGACTAGCATAGTTAAGAGTAACAACTGCTATGTGCGAGGAGCATGTGTAGAAAGCTTTAGATCTTCCTGTACTAGACCTAATTCTTAATATGGTAACAATTATGAAGGCGTAGGAGATGAAGGTGAGGAGAAAAGGGGTGAAGGCTGAAAGTAATGCTCCCTGTGTAAACACTAACAGTTCCAAAATGGAGGTGTCATCGCAGGAAATCTTCACCAGACCTATCATGTCACAGAAGAAGTGGTTCATTTCGTTGGTGGCATAGCAAGAGAATCTTGACAATATAACCATCGCAGGCAGAATTTGTAGAAGACTAAACGACCAGCAGAATAGGGCCAAGCCAACGCAGACTTTACCATTCATGACCGTTGAGTAATGTAATGGTTTGCAAATGGCAACATAGCGATCGTAGCTCATGATAGCAAGCAATACCAACTCATTGCCGCACAACCATGAGAAGAAATATACCTGCGCCATGCAGTCAGTAAAAGATACTACATTACTCCCACTGACAAAAATAACCAGGACCCTATGTAGTGTTACTGTAGTAGAAGAAATGTTGACAATGGACAGATTACACAAGAAGAAATACATGGGAGTGTGGAGCTGATAATCCAGGCAAACCAGTAGAAGAATGGTCATGTTTCCACCAAGAGAGATGAGATAAACGAGAAGAACCAGGAAAAAAATTGGAACCTGTAAAAGGGGGATTTCCGAAAGTCCTTTAAGAATGAAGAAGGTCGTCATTGTCTCGTTTTTCTCATTCATGTTTAATGCTATGAATTTAACTGAGCAGCCCTCACTATACCAATGCCAAACTACCAGTCATAGGGGGCACAGCACCTCCTACAGACAAGCCTGTAAGTCCATAAGTGGGAAACCTCCAACTGCCCTCACAATGATATTATAGCACACTTGCAGACTAGGGTATAAAGTTGGATGAACCCTCTCATTCGTTATTTACCTAATCCAACCCCATGCCTACTTTTCCCTGTAGTCAAGTCCAATGACTACATATATTAACATCAAAGAAAAAGAAGATTTGATCTCTGATTCCTTATTACATGTGATGCAACATTCCGGGATATAACTTTCATCATCCACAACTGTCCATTGACTGACCTCCGGAGAGCATTTGTTTACCCAACACTCTAGCTCCTCAACCCGTACACCATTTTGCTAATATTGTCATAGCAACGTGCATGCTTAATGTAGTGTCTGGCCTTGATGGATGGACTTAATGTAGTGTCTGGCCTTGATGGATGGACTTAATGTAGTGTCTGGCCTTGATGGATGGACTTCATGTAGTGTCTGGGCTTGATGGATGGACTTCATGTAGTGTCTGGGCTTGATGAATGGACTTAATGTAGTGTCTGGGCTTGATGAATGGACTTAATGTAGTGTCTGGCCTTGATGGATGGACTTAATGTAGTGTCTGGCCTTGATGGATGGACTTCATATAGTGTCTGGGCTTGATGGATGGACTTCATGTAGTGTCTGGGCTTGATGAATGGACTTAATGTAGTGTCTGGGCTTGATGAATGGACTTAATGTAGTGTCTGGCCTTGATGGATGGACTTAATGTAGTGTCTGGCCTTGATGGATGGACTTCATATAGTGTCTGGGCTTGATGGATGGACTTCATGTAGTGTCTGGGCTTGATGAATGGACTTAATGTAGTGTCTGGGCTTGATGAATGGACTTAATGTAGTGTCTGGCCTTGATGGATGGACTTAATGTAGTGTCTGGCCTTGATGGATGGACTTCATGTAGTGTCTGGGCTTGATGAATGGACTTAATGTAGTGTCTGGACTTGATGGATGGACTTCATGTAGTGTCTGGGCTTGATGGATGGACTTCATGTAGTGTCTGGGCTTGATAGATGGACTTCATGTAGTGTCTGGGCTTGATGGATGGACTTAATGTTGTGTCTGGGCTTGATGGATGGACTTAATGTTGTGTCTGGGCTTGATGGATGGACTTAATGTTGTGTCTGGGCTTGAAGATGATGGGACGCAATGTAATATATCTGGCCTGTTAGCTTGAAATAACCTTTTTGAGCACAGTTCATTGTCAGCGCTATTCCTGATATCTTGATATTGCTTTTCTGTAGGGAAGGTACAAAAACTGTTCACATTAGATTAAAAAAAAAGTACTGTAGTGTGTAAAGTGCAAAATTCTAAACCAGAAAATAAAATGTTCTTCTTGGAGGACCAGTGGCCAAGTGAAACTCGAAAGCAAATGATTTCATAAACCTTGATCTTCTTGAGAAAGGGAACAATGACATTAACTGGAGTTCCATGAACGTTTCACAATTGTAATTGTAACTTGTGATTGAGATCCTCTAACGTTGGTTATCATTGAATCTATAATGTTTTATGTTGTAGCGTTAACCCTTAGCCAATGTGTGATTGCAGCTCTGAGCATTTACAGGTCCTTAAATTTAATTGAGCATTTTATAATGTGATAGCAAATCTTCAGGGGACTGAACTCTCTAAAGGCCAGCCATTAATTGCTAGTAATTATTAGCAACATTTAATTCCTAAAATCCCAGTGGTCATTATGTGAGCTGCACATCCTCAGTGGTAACGCTGTTCACAATACATAACAAATTATGATCAAAATATTTCTCAATACTAGACATGTGCGATTCATTTAGTTCCGCATGAAAATCCGGACAACTTTTAAGAAATTTGGACACATCGGAATATCCGAATTCCAATGCATCCAAATGTGCCCGAATCCAAATTTCCGTTTCCCAATTTCGGATCCCAAAAACTAAACTGAATGGGACATGTGACTTTTCTGGAAAATCAGATGTTTTTTTTGGTTTAATGCCTCCGAATGGGTCTGAACACGAATTTTCGTTATGACAACATGGGAGCCATATACAGTTTATACATATAATACTAAAGCTGAGGCTCCCAGACCCCAATGGCATTCAGGATCCGAATTTCCAAATTGCATTCGAGAGCTCCTGAATGCCATTCGGGTCTGGGAGCCATATGCATATATTTCTAAAGCTGAGGCTCTCAGACCCCAATGGCATTCAGGAGCTCCCAAATGTAATTTGGAAATCTAGGGTCTGGCAGATTCAGCTTTAGTATTAGTATCTGTAGATGGTTTTCTGTGATATTTGCATCGAATATTCGTAAACTCATTCGAAACTAAAGAAAAAATTCGGATTTCGTCTGAATCTGAAACCCGAACCGAATTGAATTTCAGATCTGAATCCTGAAAAAACGAAATATCCGAACCAAACTGGATTTTTCCGCAGCTTACATGTCTAAAGAATACTATGTAAGTCCCACGAAATAATGAAAATTTAGGCTCACCTGATAAACCGCTGTATTTGTCTTTAAGAAAGCTAAACACTGATTGCTTAACCCCTCCCATTTGTTATCCTCTACCAGTATGCTTGGGTTCGATTCACAGGTGGGTTCGGCAACACATCAAAACATTTGCAATCTGTTAACTTTAATGTGGACCCCTTATATCTCAATGGGAGGTAAATCTTTAAAATCAACCATTTTCAAGGCTAATAGACATGGGCAGACTTATTTTGCAATAAATACTTTTCAACGAGGAGATCCCCCTCCCCATGTTGTGCAATTTCGAGGGGGACAAGGAAAATACACCAATTAATAAAATCACATGATTGAGAGATGTCTTTAAACTCTATGTGGTGTTACAGATTCAGCTATATCGTATTCTGGCCAGAGCCGGATTTCTCACAAGGCCAACCAAGGCCCGGCCTCGGGGGAAAAGCAGGGAGTAGAGGGGCAGCAGGGGTGGGAAAATCCTTTCTCCCTATGCCGGGCAGGTAGTTGTTTTCTACATTTAGCCCTGCTTTGGGCAAACAGAGCTAAATGTACAGCGGGGAAGCCACCGCCTGTATTGGACAAGTGATCTCAGCGACATTGTATGCAGCCTGCAGGTCTGCCATTCTCCATGGGGGGGTTGGTGAGTAGGGGGGCGCATTGGGGAACCTGGCCTTGGGGCAGCAGAGAGAGTAAATCTGGCCCTGATTCCGGCATTACATAATTTGACACATAATAAATGTTTTATATTCTACACAATCCCTTGGCTTACATGTTTTACATATTTATAAACAATTCACAGAGCCGCTCATGCTTTGAAACTGCCGTGTACATTCGACCTGTGCGAATGGGTCAAAAACGAATGTTATTAGTATATTTTCTTGTAGAAGGAGCTGAGAATCATAGGCAATAAATACTTGTTACCTATAATCTTCTGCTTCATCTAGTGGTAATTTCCTGATTCTCCCTTATAAATGAATAACATTCAGCAGACTGATGGCATCATCTCAGCCTAGGCAACGTCGCTAGGCTGGACCCCATGGTGCTGCTCTGTAATGAGGGATATCATTTTAACAATTATACAGTTTCTGTATGTTTTAACACATAAGGAATTTATGTATGCAGAAAGGCAGACTTTAATGCTATAAAATGTATCTTGAATATCAGCAGTTTCTTAAATGTATGCAAAAGTTATAATTAGGGATGCACCAATACCAGTATCTGTATTGGTGCTAATGCCGAGTATTTGGGCGAGTACTCGTATTTGCCCAAATGCTCCGATGCCTAGCCCGATACCTGAACTTCCGGTATCAGGAAGCCGGGCAGCGAGTCATTACACACTGTACGGCTTCCTGATTGGCTGGGAAGCCAGCTCCATGCTCCCTCGTCACTTGGCAATCAGAAAGCCGGGCAGCGTGTAATGACTTGCCGCATAGCTTTCTGATTGGTCAGGAAGCTGGCCAATCAGGAAGCCGCACGACGAGTCATTACCCACCCCCCAGCTTTCTGATTGGCCAGAAAGCCGGCTTCCAGGCCAATCAGGAAGCCGTCGCCGTGTAATGACTCGTTGCCTGGCTTCCTGATTGGCCAGCTTCTTGACCAATTGGCCTGATTGGCCAGAAAGCCGATTCCATGCTTCCTCGTCACCTGGTGATGAGGAAGCATGGAGACGGCTTCCCTGGTAATCGGGAAGCCGGGTGGCGAGACTTTACATGCCACCTTGGTTTATTAATGGGACTTCTGGTATCGGTATTCGCTATCAGCGCGTACCGGGAAAAAATATATCGGTACTCGTACTCTATACCGAAAAAACGGTATAGATGGATCCCTACTTATAATGTTTAATATAAGGCTAGAAATTATTTAATTGAAACTCTAAAATCATAGATGTGTTTGTTTACTGGCATAAATTATCACCTTACAATCACCACTGTAATCAGTTTAAAGGGGTTCTAAAGGCTCCGTTTATCTACTGCTAGCAAGCTGTAGATATATGCAAAAAGTAAAAAACAAAACAAAAACGCTTTAACAGCGGTTTAAACTTACTCCGTCTTCGCCGCGCGCTCCGGACAGAAAATCCGAAACTGCTCGGGCGGCTGCAAAGCATCTTGGGGGCGGGCGCATGCGCAGTTCGGATTCTCGGCCAGGAGACGAGGAGAGACGCAAGGTAAGTCTATGGACGCGTGCACCCGCATGCAGACACCGCTGGACAGGAAGTACCAGCAAGGACAGAGCAGTCAGCGCTGGATCGGAGAGCCAACACACCGCTGGAGGGACAGATGAAAACACCAGGAAAGAAGAGGAAGATCCGATTAAGAGACATCATTTAAGGTAAGTGCTGACATTAACATTGGGGGGAGGTAAAAAATGTTTTGAGTTTAATGTCACTTTAAAGTGACATTAAACCCTCAGATTTTTTAACATAACACAATACTGTAATGTGCGCCTTACTGTAATCCATGGTTGTTTCCCTTCTCTTTGCTGCTCTTCCTTTTAAATCTGTATCTCTTCTCATGCTGGGCAGAACTTCTGTTTTGCAGCAGACTGCCTTGTCTCTGGAATGGATACATGGGGGGTGATTTACTAACCTAAACACACGCAGTCTGTTTCTGACAGTGATGACTCTTCTAGCTAGAACCAGCACACATGAGACCTATCCAGGTAGTTCAAACACACAAATATTTGGCTCACTAACTTTTTTCTAACTCGGAACAGCACAGAAACACTACAAAACATATATTGGTGATTTCTCTATATGGTAGATTGTGATACATTTATAAACTATTCATATATCTGTTGTGAACGCACAATAGGTTTTTGGTTGTCAATTGAGAAAAAGAAGATGGGTTTATAAGGGTTAATCTAGACACAATATAAAGTATAACAATAATAATAAAAAAACAATGACATAATAAGATCACAATGTATTCAGGGATGTGAAAACATTAATAACATTTAATAAATGGTTATTTTATATCTAATAAATTGGACACTAGGAGGGGAATTTATCAAAACTGGAGCCGACAAAATTTAGAGTAGCTTTGCATGACAACCAATCAGCTTCTCTCTTTCGTATTCAAATCTTAACTGAACAAACTGAAGTAAGGAAGCTGATTGGTTGTCATGCACAGCTGCTCCAGATTTCGTCTGCTCCAGTTTTGATAAATCACCCCCTAGATGTCACTAATAGCAGTCAGTAGTCCTTGGCCAGTAGCAAGTTATTATTCATCCCTTTTAATAAAATTGTCATTTATCACTCATTATTCATTTTATTTCTTACAAATAATGACTTTGAAGATTGAAATATTTGTATTTCCACCTCTGTCATATACATTTATTTTCTTCCAACCAAATGGACGTCTTCCCTTCCAAAAACCGTTGTAAGATACTTGAGTTTTCGCTGCAAAGCTGCTTTCACATCTTTGTTCTTTAAGCTGTATATGAAAGGATTGAGCATGGGGACCACAGCTGTGTTGAACATAGACAAAAATTTACCGGACTTGAAGGTGCCACTGGGAGTTAAGTATTGACAAGCAATGGTTGTGTACTGAAGAGCAACAACGGTTAGGTGTGAGGAACAAGTGTAGAAGGCTTTAGACCTTCCCGTACTAGTCTTAATTCTCAGTATGGTGGCAATGATGAACGAGTAGGAGATGAAGGTGAGGAGAAAAGGGGTGAAGGTTGACAGTAAAACCCCTTCTGTGAACATCAACATTTGCAACATGAAGGTGTCACTACATGAAAGGTTCATCAGGCCCAAAATTTCACAGAAGAAGTGGTCAATTATGTTGGAAGTGTAACAAGAGAATTGCGTAAGTATGATCATGGCAGGAAAAATCTGCACAAGACTAAATGACCAGCAGAATACAGCCAGACCAGCACAGACCTTACCATTCATGACGGTTGAATAATGCAAAGGGTTGCAGATGGCAACGTAACGATCGTAGCTCATGGAGGTAAGCAATACCAACTCATTGCCGCATAACCATGTGAAGACGTATACCTGTGCCATACAGGCAGCGAACGATACGGCATTGTCTCCCGTTACAAAGACGGCAAGGATCTTATGTAGCGTAATTGTGGTTGAGGATATGTTGAGAACGGACAGATTGCACAGGAAGAAGTACATGGGAGTGTGGAGCTGAGAGTCCAGGCAAACCAGCAGCAGAATGATCAAATTACCTCCAAGGGTGACATGGTAAATGAGGAGGACCAAAAGGAAAATCAGAAGCTGCAGGTTAGGGACATCGGAAATCCCTTTAAGAATGAAGTAGGACACCATTGTTACGTTCTCCACATTCATGTTGTGCTCTGTAAGTCAAAACTGAACATCAGGAACATATACAGTAAAAAAAAGACACAATTTAATGCAGTTATGTATTTATTGAAAAAAATAAACATTAAATTAAAAAAATAGAAATAATTATATAT